CTGGGCCTTAGCTTTCCTGACCTGGTCCATGCATGAACACAGCACAGATTTCATTGAGACATCCTGGCAGAGCAACCTGCTTATATGTGCATATGTGTATACATAAGTGCACACACGCTTGCATGGGTGTTCATCTGCAAGTTCATTTGCAGAACTATTATTTAACTATTGAACTTGCTCAAAATACAGAGGACTTTAATTAACCTTTTCCTATCAGATACATTAGATACAGGGCCAAAATCAAAATGATACACAGTCTTCAAAAAGCCTGGGTAAACATCCTAGAAAAAGCAGCACTCAGTACATCTGTTAAATAATTTTCTTTTTCAATAACAAAACTGTGTTGGCTGTCAGAAAACTGTAACATGATGCATCTATTCCAACATAAATATATTAACTGTTAACCAAACACACATATCCCTCTCACTGTAAGAGCTTCCAACTCACATGTGAAACGTATTGGATTACATATTATTACGTATATTATACAATATATGACTCGTTCAGTGATTTCTAGTTCCACATGTACAACTTGAATTAAACAACCTTTGTCTAAAAGGTTACTCATCCTCTCCCTTAAACATCCCTCTTAAAGACCTGACATAATTTTCCCAATAAAGTATTATTTTTAACTTTACATATCTTTTCATGTACAACTGTATTAAAAAAATTATTTCCTCCCACAATAAAATCCGTTTATACTCCTTTCAGATTTCCTGTTCAGGTTTCTTATGCTAGATATAGTAAGGCAAATAACCCATAGAAATCTTTGGTCTCTTCACATTGTGAGGTTTACCATAATTTAGAGGAAAAAAAAAAATCTGTAGAGAAAATTGGTATATACAGGATGCTGTTACTTTTCATGATTACAGCTTGCCTGAATATATAAGGCCATCTAAATTTTAAATTATACACATAACTTCAATTACAACATTATAGCTTAATCTGAAGCAAGCAATTGCATTTTGTAAAATAAATTAATACTTCATTTTAAAAAGCTGTAGAGAAGTCCAAACACCTAAAGTATGCCAAGTCATTAATGCACCAATTTGTCATCTCTTTTCTCACAAGCTTTGATCAACTTCTTCCATATTCTCAATTTGCCCCCACATAAAACTGTTTAACATACTACAAACAGCATTATACACGAGTGCTCCAACATTTCCTGTCAGATACATAGAGCAAGACTCTGCTTTTCAACTGTCAGAGCATCTTCTCAATGGAAGCTTCATTTTCCACCACAGACAAGCCTTCTGAAACTTAAGTGTTTTCTTCTAACACTGCCTGTCAGACAGAAGAAAAACAATTATTGAAAAAACAGTTTGCATGTCTGATTTTTCTTGTCCTATTTTATAGGTTAATATTAAATATGAAAATGAGTATTTGTTGGTTTTTTTAAAATTAGAGGTTAAAAGCTCATTTTTTTCCAGTTCCAACTGAACGCAGATTACTAAGAAAGCAAGCATAATAGCATGTGTAGTATGATTAAAATGATTAAGTACAATAGTTACCAGACAATTAAGCTAGCATATCAAGAAAAAAACATAAGAAAAACATTTATATCTGCACTATGCCTGCTTAGTTCTATGCAAACAATTCCTTTCTTACAGGAATTTCCCCACCCCCACTTTTAAAATTAATTATTCTGGGAAGCCATTCCCAATCTTAGGGGTTGTGCTTCACATTTTCTATTACCTGTTGAAACAAAGAAAACTTTAATTTCTCACGATGTAAGTTTTATTTAGTGCATATCAGTAACAGAAAAACACTTACATGTCTCTAACCCAGGAGACCAATAAAGGATAAAACACTTCCTCAGACAGATAGATTATGTTCCACTACAAACCATAACAAAAAGGCACAATCCACTATATGAAAAACATGCCTCACTGTTTTACTGTAAAACCCAGGAATGTTGCCAAATGTATTGTTCCTGACTATTTTAGACTGCCTTTCTACAACTTCTTTTCCTTTAAGGAAACAAAGTAGTATTAATTTACATATAATTTAATACATACAGTTGAAAGCTGTCAGCCTTTTCATCTTTAAGAGTAAATAAAGAATAAATTCAATCTCCACTGAACGCAAGAGAAACAGCTTTACAAAACTTCATGCACACATTCATTCATGCATAATCTAACCAGTATGCACTAGACCATGGCTCACATAAGATAGAGGGGAAAATAATGTAAAGCTACAGTTAAGAAAAATTACTCTACCTTTTCTCTTTTAAGCACTTGGTATTTGGGACTCTGGAGATCTTCAATGCTTTCAGCAATTGGCTTATTCAGTGTTTCTGGCAGAAGGAGAGTCAGGAATCCTGCTGACAGTCCAGTGATTCCAAACACCACAAACGGTACAGAAGGACTAAGAGATTTCTAAAATTAAAAATTCACAGTAAAAAGCCAGCACTGTTTCCTGCTCTTAAAATACATGATCCATATGAGCTGCAGTCAAAACCAGAAGACTACAGCTTTCCACTCCAGCAATCCGCGCAATTATTCATATACTAGTAGAACAAAGAAACCCAGTAAATGTCACTTTGCAGAAACAGCCCCACACTAAAACTTTGTTTACTAAAAAAACTCAGATACTGAGTGAGCTTTAGCAGTATTGAATGCGTTATGATAATCGTTTCACTAACAGATGAAATATTAAACACAGAACATTATCTAATTTGCAAAAAGGGTAAAATTCCAGGTACTTCTAAACATCTTGTTCATTAATTCTTGAAATTGAGTTAATGTTATTTAATTTTTCATAAAACAAATCTTTCAAGAAAAAAAAATCAGCAAAGTGCTTTTGAGACAACTTTGTAAATCTAAGTCACATTATAAGTAGAAAATAATCTTACCATAGATGGCACAAATGGAGCCAATATGCCTCCAAATCTGCAAGACATGGAACAGACACCCAAGCCAGCATTTCTGTTTCAAACAAAGAATGAAAGATTTGTAGTTTCAGAATGCACAACTGAGTCATGCATGAACATGTGGTGGAACTTCCAGAACCAACTTACACTTTATTTTTTAAGTTATCAATAGTCTTCATTAAGTCAAAATAAATAAATAAATAAATGAATGAATGAATTTTTTTAAAAGCCTCCAGTAGCTATGCTGAAGATTTTCTACAAGTATCTGCTAGCAAGGTAAATCACACCCTTTAAAACCCTCACAAAGCCACCCTGTTGTGCAATCCTTCACAAAAGTTTGATCAAAAAAAGAGGTTTTCCAACCTGCCACATAGGGCAATGTATTGGAAATCCTTGTGCTGGATGGGACACGATTTCAAAACTTGCCAGGATCTTCAGACAGAAGATCCTGAATGTTACCTCTAGCTCAGGCTGTCAGTAGCAGCCTCTCTCCTGCCACCTCAGGTTGCACAGGTGAAACACGAGTGCTTACCTCCAAACAGAAATTAACTTTTTGCCAGTGTGAAGCTTGAAAACATCTGGCGAGATGTGTCACTAGAGGGACTGCTGAATTCCACACTCCCTTCAATTTTTGGCCAAATTTGAAACAATCGCATCTAGACTGTGATAATCAAAGCATAGGTTAGAACAGCAGGAGCCTCTTCAAAGAAAGTTAAAAAAAAGTCTTTTGCTGATCAAATACAGAAATCTTCCATCTCTGTTTCACTCCTAAATACGGTATTTAACAGCCCATTCAGAGACTGACATTGGCACCAGTCATCACTGAGACAGTAAGAACCAGATCACAGTGGCTGCTGTTCTCCCTACATCTCTCTGTTGCTTCCTCTCACTCATCATCCTCCTCCTCAGTCACACCACTGAGTTGAGCTGCTTTGATTCACCCTGTTTCCTTTTCCTGCTCCAAAGACAGGAAGACAGTGACAGGATTAAAGATGACAAGCAGAGGTGACATGGGTCACTAGTATACCAAAACCACCCACCTGCACATCCCTTCCTAATGGCCATTTGCACAGGTTAAAGGAAACAGATGATGATGAGGAGCCAGTGATTCTGCTATAAAAATAAACAGACAAAGCACCCTTCTCTCTTATCAGGTCCTCTTGGGAAAAGGAAATTAGCAACCCACACTTCCTCACATTAAGGCAACATTAACCCAAACCCCACAAGACAAGGTCAAGCACCTTCCCTGTCAACAAAAGCCTTGAACAGATGAGACACACAAGTCTGTGTGTGAACCATTCATTTAGAAGCACCCTTCCCACAGACCCTAAGCCTGTCCATATCCAGAGATGGAGAATTACACAACTTGGGTTATGTAGAAGAATGTCATGGTATCCAAGAGGAAAAATGCATTATTGCCCAGGTACTATTAGCAAGTATTCTTGAAATGCTGCACTGCCAGTGTCTGACCACCTGCCACCTGCCTTACCTTACTGCCCTGGTTTCACCACCCTTACTAGAGCACCTACTAAACCCAACTGACAGCATGTGCTCCTGACATCCCACAGAGCACCCACTGAGCTAATGTCAGCCAAAATAGCTCTACAACCAGAGTAATCACAGCTCTGCTCAAGCCAGTTAGTCCCGTTGCAGCTGCCTGCCAAGGAACACATGCCGTATGGCACTCCTTGTGCAGCAGTTCAGCAGAAAGAATTGTGAATTGTTCCTTGTAAAAAAAGCCAGAGATCCAAAGGACAAGTATTTTAAGGGGATACAAACTTTGCCTACCACCACTGACACTAAGTGAAAATACAAGAGTTTCCCCACTGTGAAAATAAGCAAATGAGCTTTCCAAAACTATCCTAGACAGTCCAGTGGCCCCACTCCAAATTCACTCATCACATACAAGGATGTCATCATCTCACAACCATTTTCTCATGAAAAAAAAAAAACAAAAAAACCCAATCAAACAAACAAAAAAAAAAAAAACCCCACAAAAAAAAACCCACCAATGAACCACACCACACACACCCCTCAAAAAAAATCACAAACAAAAACCCACAAAACCCCCATGAGTTTGGCCTTACATCTATATTATTAGAGCTACGATTAAATTTTGCTCCAAAAGACAGCCTTCCCTTTTGTCCAAAATGCAATGGTATTTTTAACTTCTTTATTCCACTTCCTCTCCAGTGGGTTTGAACGGTCCGTGCCTCAGCACACGGCCTGCCTAAGCTCCGCTCAGAGCCACGCCAGGATCAGGACGAAGCTTTGCAAAGACCACCAGATGGTGCTGGTGGTTTGCTTTAAATTGAACGCTCGCCCATCACCGCTTTTCTTGCATAAACTCACATACTTGCAATTACAGTACCAGAGAGATATCAAACATTTTTAAACACATAAGCTGTCATGTGAGGAATTTTCATATGGTTTAACCTAACGGTTTGCCACAGTATCAAACATGTCTAATAAAGTTGCAACTTTTTTAACTGCCCTTATTCTTGCATTTTCTCCACTGGCAGGCTATGTATTTGAGACACAAAGTTAATTTTTGTGCCAGAATATTAGTGTGGATTCTCAAGTGAAACAGCTCTTTACTCTATTAATTTTTTTTTTTTAAATCTTCCTAATCACAAACTCTTAGTTTCAGATGCACAGACACACTTCTGTAATTCCTGCTAGGTATGAGCTGCCACATGCTTGGCACTGAACATCAGTGAGACTTAAGGAAGACAGCATGATATGGAAACAGTGAAACAAGCAAAAGTTGAGGAATTAAAATATTCTCAGATTTAATTGTCTTGATTCTCAGCTCCAGAAGAGCAGAGGGGACAGGAAAAGTCAAAACCTGCCTGCTCCAAAGAAAAAAAGTACAAAAGTTTAGACTGGGAGAATGTAAACAAACCCTCACACCCAAATTCTGTCAGTGTGTTTGGGACTTGCATATTAAACCTAGATCTGTGCCAAGAACCACAAGCTCAGTATCTGAAAACAGACAATCCACCTCCACCCCACAAGTTTGATTGCAAAACACAAAACCTGCATTCACAGTCTAGCTTTTATGCCTCCAGAACATATGGCAATTTGTGAACCTCAAAAAAGAAAAAAAAGCCAATCCAAAGAGTCACCCACATTTTTATCTACACATACCCCCACCCCAAACCCTCCCCCATCAAGACCTCAGTGTCCTAGAATCAAGTGATTTATGTCACCACTTTAATTGCCTCTGCAGTGCTACAGGACACATTCCCCAGCCAGAACGCTTTCCTACTCCACATCAGCTTTCAACTTTCCTGCTCTCTTTAAAGAGCTCAATTTTTGCAGTAGTTTTGCAGCTGCTGTTCTTGAACAACTTGTGCAATATGGTTCTTGAGCAACTTGTGCAAAAAACACATACTTAGAGTACAGTTCGGAGAATCATGTGGAACTGAGATGGGGGTGAGAAGAACAAGACTGATATTTTCTTATCTCAGGTTTATCTTGAGACAACAAGAGAGAGAGTAACCACAGAGTCCCCAAGAACTATGAAAAACAAGGCTTTAGCCCACTTGTTCATGAATTACATGGTATAAAGCAAATTACTGTCATACGTAAGCTATTAAAATGAGTTGCATTATGAATATTTAATTAAATAACAAAGAGATAGACCAGCACTTGTTCTTTTCAGCAGGGAAACAAACATAATTGTATGGGAGATATAAGTAATCAGAGTGACTGTAAATAGTCCTTACTGCATAGCCTTTGTTTATCCTTAAGTCAGCATATACTTCCATCACGTAATTATGTTTGGGTTTGCACCCTGTAATTTTATCCCCAAAAATCACTAGTAGAAATGAGAAATATAGCACGTGGCATTGCAGTATAAGAAGCTGGTTTTCCTGTTTTTATTCCAGATTCAAAGCTAGAGGAAGTTGCCACAAACAGCCCAGGAAACTGCAATGATGCAAAATGTGTGACTAATACAAAAAGCCCTTTCAAGCCCTGTCAAGCTGCCTTAATTACAGAAAGAATTCATATTGATATTTCAGGTAGAAGTCATTACAGATAAATATTAAAGCACACCAGCAATCAGTATTGCCATGCATGAGAAGTATTTTCATTTACCCAGAAGCTCTGGTAATTACCTCAGTACTGTTGGGTACAGTTCAGATGTATAAATATACACGATGTTGAAAGCAGCACTGACCATCATTTTTCCACATAACGCTAACAAAGTGGGACTGAAGACCAGACCTTTCAGGGAAAAGACAAAAACATAAAAAAACCAAGCTGTAAGCATAAATAGTCTGTTTTCTCACTTTTTTTATTTTTAAACAGCAACATTGAAAAGCAGTATTTCAGTTCCTCCCAACCATTTTAAGAGCTAGAATAAAAACAGATAAATAAAATTATATTTGGCATCAAGAAAACTGAACCCATTTTGGCAGGGGAAGTATAAAACTATCACAGCTCTAAATGGAAGTGCTAAGACTTCCAGCTCTGCAGTCAGAATACCTTACCAGGTAACATCATCTTTTGACAAGTACAGACATCATTGCCTCCTTGACTAATTTATTAGATTAAAACCATAAAACTTGATTCACCTCAACAGTTTATTGGCTCCCCAAGGACATCCTATTGGGACTTAAAATGCAACAGCTTTCTAATTGGAAAGAACAAGTCCTAATGCAGCCCAGTTTACTAATAGACAGAGCTATGTTGGCTAAACTTAAGTGTGCATCATTTAAAGGCCAAAAGAAATCTGTCTTTCATTATCCTGATTTGGTTGTGTTTGCATCATCCATTTCAATTTAAAAAAAAAATTATAAATATATTTCTTTTTAAATCAGAAGAATGAATGCTCCGATTAGCTGCATTTCAGGTTCTCTTCCTCAGCACCAAGTTCAGCATGTTTTGGTTTGGATCAAATCATGTTGACTAAATAATGGAAAATCTGATTGCTTCTCAATTGATTTTCTTTTAATTTTTGCCCTTCTCTTCATCTGACCAAGTCAGATTCTATTTCAGCTGAAGCAGAAATTCATTTGAACATAAGCTGAAATCCAGAAACTTGATTTAATTTCTTTAGGCATCATGCATTTCTGCAGTTATTTCTAGAATTCAAGCAAAACAGATGCAACATTTTCATCCAAGTTCTCCTTTTGCTCAGTTGAATGTTGCATACAATCACCAGACGGAGAGGTGTGAACCTGGTCCTCAGAGCCTCACTGGGTGCTGTCAGGACGCTGGGACATCTCTTTTCTTCCATCAACCAAAGATGAAATGAAGAGATTTGTAATTCTCAAACGTGCTTTAAAACTTGTTGTTTCTCTTCCAGGAAGACTTAAATTGAACACTGCATATCGATATAGATACATATAGAAGTGTATCCTTAATGCATTTGGGAAGTTTTGGTCTTACTATCAAAATAGAAGAAAGAGTTTGTCTAGACAGAGAAATTAGCACGCAGGAGTGAATTTAAAACACTCTGTCTTCTCCAGGTTCCCTCCCTCAGAGGAGGCTGAAGGCTGGCCACATGGGGAATTATTGCAGGATTAGAATCACACTGGAAAGCCTCTGCACATCAGCTTCCCTGGGCAAGCCCAGACATTGACCTTACATTTTCCTTAGAGCCTCAGAACATATTTTTTGCAATTCTTGCAGAGAAAACAAATGGTCACAAAGGCGCTGATGCTTAAGACCTTTTAGAATATCAGTTATGTCATTCCTAGTCTCATTTGCAGTGCCATTATGTAGATTCACCCTCTGTCTGTCATCTTCATGGGTAAAAGCTCTTTCAAGCAACTTAAGCAGTACTTCTAAAATTAAGAGAGTCTTTAAATTTACTTCAGACAAAATATCCACCAAGAAAGAGTAGTGCTCCATGCAAAACGAAATACCTGACAAACTCAATTTTGTCTCAGCTCTTGTTAATGAATTGCAAATTTTCTTTCCTTCTTCAGTGAAAAGCGTATTAATGAGTCACAAAAAAGTTGTGTCTTCAGTGTAAGATGATAAATCTAAATGAAAGTTAAAATCTAGTTACCCCTTGACTAGAAGTCTCCTTTGCTTGCTATAGCATAACACAGGCACAAAAAGCAATGTCTTCATGCTTTACAGCAGCCTTGAAAGAAAAGAATATTACAGCTCCATTCCCCCTGCACTGCCACTCTCCCTCACTGTCTTCCAATCTGATACACAAATTAATTGATGAGTTCTAAGTGGCAAGGTAAGAGAGAGCAGAGGGATATATCAGTTTTAACTTAACCATTGAAGAGATTTTTAGTCTCAACCTCAGTACAGATCTTTACTAGCAGAAATGTTCTTGGTTTATTCCACAGGGGAAATTACTTTGATCAGATTATCAAAGGGAGTGAAGGTTACAGATGTAAGAGGCAAGTGCCCAATCTCTCATTAAAAATCTTAAATTCCTTTGAATAAAATCAAGGATCTTACCATTCAGAAGAATGCAGACAGACAAATCTAAGAAGTGTTCTTCTTACTGATAGGAGCATCACACTAGAGATGCAACAGTCCTCATTTCATCCAAAATGACTCATCTTCATTATGTGTGGAGCTGAATTTCTTTCTACTTAACTGACACAGATCACTCTGAGCCAAGAACCAGCTTTAGTCTTACCACAGTGGAAAATAAGATGTTTTAATGGCGTTAAAGTACAGCCAACTGGAAATGACAGATTTCCTGAAACTTAGCAAGTCTTCGGGAATTATTACCCTATCCTGACTAGTCACTACTGCTTTTCTTTCATTTTGTTTTAAAATATATAAAAAGAAGCTCAAAGAGCAAACTCATTAGAAAAAAGGAAAAAAAGCTCTCTCAATAAAAGGAGCAACAAAACATCTGAGGACTTGAATTAACACAAGCATGGCAAACAGGATTATGGGATTTTTTTTAACTCTCTCTGTTTTTCTTCCCGAGACTTTTCTAAGATCAATTTGAACTGGATGCCAGACAGCATTTGTAACTGTTAGGGATAAACACAACCTACAGAAGGCTACCCTGTAATCGCATTACTGGTGCTTCTCAGCCAAAACACTTTTAAGGCTAAAGAATTTCTACTGAAGTAGTATTAAAAAACATACAAGAAGCCACTTGTTAGTGTCATATGGATGTGAGTTTTCAGTAGCTAAGTATTAGTAAAGAAACATTGTACTTGAAACGGGAAGTGAAAATACAAAACTGAACATATGTGAGCGTCACTGGCAATGTTAGAAAACACGCATCTTTTGAGATGAGAAATATACTTGGTGATATTCCACGTTATCATGATGTGTCCTCACAACTGGATAGTACAGCAATACGCATGAAACAAGACAAGTACAGCAAGACTGAGAAAAGCAGCGAGCTTCTTGCCATCCGTATGGTTTCCATATTGCAAGTCTGACTTCTATTTCTAATTTTCAAGTACCAAATTATTTTTTTAAAGCTTTTTAGTGGTTTGGTTTTTTTAATGATGAATTAACCTTCTAATGCAGGAAAATCCTCCATTCCTATTTCTATAAATATTACAGGCCACCAAAATAAATGTAAAATTAAGCTCAGCATCCCACAACATCAAGATCCAGCCAAACTAACATTACAGTGCACTGCAGTCTGGCTATTAAATCCAGTATTTTAAGGTAAGCTGCTTAATAGTGATACATGAAGGCAGTTGTCAATATCTGAGACAGAATGTGATAGCTTAGTCTGACCTTCAAAGAGTCAAGGGCTTGCAGTCAGACAAACTTAGTCAACTAACAGCTTCAAATTATGCCTGCAACAAGTTAGAAGCAATATAGACAAGACTCTGGCTCCCTGACCAGCCCCGGAAGAAGAAAGAGGTATAAACGGATAGGCCTTCAGGCCCTCATATACTCAGTCACAAAATACTCATTAATTTGTTTTGTTAGCTTTTATCCAAATTAACGAACACCTACTTCAGCAGCATTACATACTTACCTGCATTTGTTGGTAAAAACGTGGTAAATATACAGGCAAATCCTGCAAATATCAGAAAACATGTCATAGTTTTACGTCTTCCAGACCTAGAAGCAAAAGAGCATCCAGATAAAGATGCAAATAAAGTCCTTCAGTATTTTTTTAATTTGTCTGCAAGATACCAACTAAATGTATTGTACCTTGGTAAGTGCTTCAAATCTTGCATTATTTTCCTAGTTCTGTGTACTCCCAAAAAAGTTTTCTTATTTCTAGCCAAGTTCTGATTTTCAAGCTATTGAACTGTAGCCTCGAGAAGAGCCCATCTACTTCAGCAACAAGAGCTCCGACTTTTTTTCTTCTCTATATGAGCAAGGCAATGGACCCTGTCACCAAAAGGGTGTTACAGCACATACACACAAAGATCAGATTTCATGTTGGTCAAGAAAATGCAATTCTAATGCTTCCTAACCTCTGTTTCTCTTTTACAACTTTGCATAAATGTATGCAGTCACACCACACACTAAAGCTGTTTTGTACGCATTTGTCTAGTTGCATACACACAGAAATAAGCGAAGTCTAGTTCTACTGCCTACTGCTTTAAAAGAGAAGACAACAATGGGATGGAAAATCACCAGTCCATCTCCACATCTGCCATATTACAATTTATTTCATCATTATTTCCAAAGAACCACAAAAAGATATTCATAGTAACAGTTTGCAGGCATGTAGAAATAGTATAAACGCTTGTAACTTTGTGAACTCTCACAGCTATTTCTAACTACTGCCCTATAGTAGCAGAACTACAGTTCTGCTGTAACAAACATCGTAACACTTCTAAATATTTTTGCAACAAAAAAGCTGTACTTTAAGGATACTGCCCACTAAAACTGAATGAAAACAGTGCAGCTGGCTTGCCACGTTGTTTTGCATTGAGAACCTGAAACTACACACATGCTTACTTCAGGAAACCAAAAGCTTTCATTTTACAATTAACCTGATAAATTACAGTGGAAATAGAAGACATAGAAAAGAACTTGGACAGTTTGTAGTTTAAATGCATGTGCTTGGCTCAGGCTTCTTGGGCTTGAGGTGAAGGCTGGCTGGTTGTTTTGCTGCTTAGCTTCACCAAGATGACAGCTTTTTATTGCCCCAAAAACCTGGAAAGGTGACATCCTCACCTGACTGAAGAAAATGGGATTTTTGCCACTGATCTCAGTGAGACCAAAGTATCATTATAAAGATACTCAAACTGAAGGTTACATAAAACCCTGAGTAGGTCTGGGTTTCCAGACTGTTTGGCCTTTGGAAATAAGTACCCACATAAAGGATGGCCTGCGAATAGCACCGGCATGTATGAAAATAACACGGACATCGATCATTCATACCTTAACAAAAACTGAATGGCTCTCACTTCAAGGTTCTCTTTGAAAAGTTTAAGTAAAAATGATCACTGCTGAAAGCTGCTTTCAACTGCAGTTGGTAGGTAGTACAAAAACAAGTCATTCTGAATAAAGTATGTAAGAGATAAAACTAAGCTATCGATCCTGAAGTAACTAGGCTACTCACATTTTTGCCATAAAGATCAAGCTTTTTTTTAATAACATTAATCATTTGAATTACTCAAGAGATAAGCTTTTCAAAAGATGAACAAAACTGAAAAGAGAAGAGGTAGAAAAATCAGAGTCCCATTTCTGTATCAACTGCAGAAACCCCTGCAACAGAATAAATGCCCCAAAAAATCAAGACTGTTTAGAAAAACATGAAAGTATCTTACTGAGAAAAATGTTAATATTTTTCTAAGCTATCAACAAATACATGCAGAAAACTAGGAAATAATAAGTTTTTCTTACCAGGATTTCTCAACAAAAAACATGCAGAGAGGAAATGCTGGAACTTCTACAAGACCAGAAAGAGCCACATTTAAATACAGATTTCCTCTTAATTCACCAGCATTTAAAGTCAGTCCATAATACACAAAGCTGCAGACATACCTAAACAAACCCATAAAAGTTATATTACTAACATAAGTTGTCTTTAGGACTAAAAAAGTATTTAAAAGGGGAAATTATGCAGAGTTACGGATTAGCTATATCGAGTCTAGGAAGAGAGCTCTTAGTTCCGCCCCCCCAAGGGAAACATGGCAAAGAGAATAGTTGCAATTTAATTAAACAAAGTAACGTCTTGAAAGAAAAAAAAGAGGCATGTGTATATGTGCACAGCACAACTTTCAGAATTTTCTGTTAGCTTGCTTTTTTTCCCTAGGTTATTCAGCAAAGCTATTAAGCTTAACTGTAAGCAGCTGATGCTTAACTGTTGCAAAGCAATCCTAGGAAAGAAAATTATATGTACAACCACTGATTAACACCAAATGTCTTCTCCAAACCTAGGAAAGGCCTCCACAACAAACCTATTGTCATTTTCCTTGGAAAGAACTAAGCCCACACATCCCCACCCCACAAAACACAACACTGGCTTTTCAAGACAGCACCTAATATAAATCTATGCAATCTGTATTTTATTAGCCTCCAGTTTTCCTCCAGTGAACCTGCGTAATGTGCTTTTGGGCTCTTAATGCTTATTCTTGCTGCAGATCTCTACTGTTGTCTAATCCACATAGTCCTTTTCTTCCTAAGACTGGTTCAAATCCACATACTCTCAGTAATTTCTGCTTCAGCTCCTCACTTCACTCAATGTGAATACTATGTTCTCATCGGATTAATTCTTAGTAGGTTTTGAAGCAGTTTCTAAGTGACACACTGAAAATAAAATGCAACAGCTATAATAATTAAACACCAACTTTACAACACATCATTTTAGATTATTGTTGTCTGCCACCAACTGACAAACCTGATTTAGTTTCTAGGACAGGATTTTTAAAAGAAAAGGATGAAAACTCTAATTGCTTCCTTGTGCCTGACGCAGTCACAGCATCTCAGCGTTTTGTTATTACATACCAGATGTACATCAATACAACAGTTCGCCACCGAAGGACAGGGTGTTTCACTAAGTTTAGGATACCAGATGCTGGCTCATCCTTCCTCAAAGTTCCTGCACTTGGTTTTAACTTTAGATTTAATCTCTCTTTTCCATTACCAAGGGCAATATATTGCAATACTTCTTCAGCTTCTGCCGTTTTCCCTTGGGAATACAGCCATCGTGGTGATTCTGGGAGCATACTAACAGGAAAGAGCAGAAAATCAACAATGACAAGTTCATTCCTATTACCACAGCACACACTAAAGTCAGTCTTTCCACTTTTCAAATCAATGTTTAAAGTATCCATACAAAATTCTGAGAAATCATTCCGCTTACATTGTTTTGCCTATCAAACTCCACATACTTGATAATTATACAGTCATCTTAGAGAAGGATTGTTGGAGATACTTCACAAAGCACTCAGTCATGCTAGAGGAGTTTAAATGTAAATCTTTACTTCTGCTGAACTGACTTCTTAGGAAACGCTACACTAGCATTAGCCAGGAAGCATTTCACACCTGTCTGAACAGCCTAGGCAAAACTTTGTTTTCACAAAGTAAATTTCAAGCTTCTCAGTTATGGGAGGGCTCCAAGTTGGAGCGAAGAAAGATAGAAACCTCACTGGGGAATTACCTGTCAGGCTCCAGTACCAGCTCATCATTGCCCATTTTAAATTGTAAATCTCTTATTCCCAAGTATAATCAGAATATCCTTACTTACCACAACTTCAGTTCATGATTCCTGGTATGTTTTGGGTTGCTTGTTTTATTTTGTTTTTTAGGCCATAGAGTGTGCTGCTACTTTTATATGAACCATAAAATAAATAATGGAGTATTTTTAACTGAACCTTTATTTTCTCTGGTACTCTTAACAAATACATATGCTACAACCAAACTAAGCTTTCATTACTTCAGAGGATCCCAATATTTTTAGTATCTGGGAGAAGTAATTCTACTTCATCAGAAACAGAATGCCATAAAAGGAAATACATTATGCAGAACTTCCTTCCTCAGCCCAGAGGCTTTGTTTTCCTTGAATACAGGAAGCAGGGGCTTGGGGGGTTTTTTGTGAACTCTTTAATGTCACTGATTTCAAGATCAGATCTATCTAAAAAGTAATTGAAATTTTAAGAAATGAAATAAAAAAAATCAGAGGAGTTTTTTCTGTGCTGTATGCTAGACATTCCCTGTATTGATGTGTAGACAACCTACTAAACTAATTCCTTCATTTCTTCTACAGATTTCACTAGTGTCAGAAGCATACCAGGTATAATACTTGATATGTTAGAAGAATATTCTGTAATAACACAGCCCAGGCAAAGCTAAGCACTTTCAATTCCTTAAGTACCAATGCATTTCATAATTGTTTTTATGATCATGTCTATTTAGGAATTCTGAATAGGAGCACCCAAGCACAACAATGCTGGGAACACACACAAGGGACCTCAAAAGTAAGCAGATACATAGAATATCATGCTAAAAAGGCAATTCCAAGTGCTCTCATTTATTTCCCTTTGCACGCATGTGTCTCATGAAAAGAAACTCTAAAATCTCTCTAGGATCATTTCCAAAACTTCTTAAGCGCTGAAACCCTTCCTTGACAGAAGGCAGTGCTCCTGGCTGATCCTCCAGCTCACAGCCTCTGGCAGGCCTTCCCTTCTCCAAGCAGATGTGTAATCGAGTTTTATTGGACAGCTGTCAGACAGCTGCTCTTTGCAATGCTGGCCATCACAACTGTAACAGCATGCAGAAACACAAGCTTGTCTTCTGAATAACCCTGACCTTCTGCTTCATTTAAAACCACTTCTTCCTCCACAATATGATTTTGCTCTTGCTTGGTTCATAAAGCCATACAGAAAAATGTCATCCACCACTCCCTTGAATGATGACAAGAAAAAGTAACTGTTAAATTCCTGCATATTTTTTATCACTATAATCCACATGAACCACTTACAAAGAAAGAAGAAGGAAGATGACTCCCAGAGTATTTGATACCAAGGCAAGGTAGCGCCATTCTCTTACACAGTAACCCAGCAAAGCATAAACAGCAATGCCAACTGCAAATGTCAGATTAGTTAATGAACCTGAAAATACAAGACCAAAACGGTGACTACATAAACCATTGGCAAAAGAAAATAAAACAAAAATAAACAAACAAAAAAAAAATCCTAGCCCATGTGTTAATAATAAAGTATAATATGCAATCCCAGTGAAGAATAGCTTCACATAACGTATGGGAGGTTCCCCCTTCCAAAAATATAGGGTGGTACATAGGAGAGTGCAAGGGACGAACAGAAACCTACAGACCAAAGGGAAAAATTGAGGACAGCAAAGGGAAGTAGTGAGAGTGAATGATTTATTTTGGCCTATTAAGTTAATCTTCAATAGAGGTGGCAAGCTGGAACAGAAATTGGAAGTTATAAAAGTTCAAGGACAGAGTTCAGTACAAAACCAGCTGCAAGCCAGAGATTTATTGCAGCAGAATTCTGATGAACAAGCATAAATAAAAGTGTTAAAAATATGGGATCAACTTGAACTCCAAAAGTCTAAAAACAAACCCTTTGCAGACTAACAAGAGATCTTGTACTAACACAGAAACTCTCAGCTATCACCCACAAAGCCTAGCTCACAGCCAACACCTAGGAGAGCTTCTTCAACACTGCTGAGCTCACCCAGCAGCTCCCCCTCCTTCAGCCCCTGATCAGTTGTTCAGCTCCTCTTTCTCAACAGCTGAGCAAAACTAGAATAAAACACCTAGAGTGATAAGCAGCAGGACTGTCTCTTTGGTCCATCAGGAGGCTGGACCTGCAGGGAGAAAGGCTGCGAAGAGCAGAGAGAAACAACAGGGCAAGAGGAAAGGAGGAGAGGGGAGAGAGAGGGTGTGAGTTAAAAAAGGGAACCCAGGAGAAGAAAATCCAGTGCTTTAAGTGGGAAGCTGCAACTGAACCACAACTGTCTCATAGCTCCCCAGGAGTCTAGGGAAGAAATAAGAAAAATAGTAGGATGAGGTAACTGAAGAAATGGGAGAGAAAGAAATAAGCTTATAGCCACAGCAAGCCAGCATTTGGACCACGTTTTTCCCCATGTTGTGCTAGCCAAAAAGGTGTCACACTCTGAGCCACTCTGGCTTTACAGCACTCTGATGTGCAAGTGTTAACTTTATTTTAAGTCTTGGCAGTGGCATATGACATTTAAAAATACTGGATAGTTAGCACATTCAGCAGTGGTACAAACATTATCTGGGCACTAAGTCATTCTGTGGTCCAGGGAAGCTTCAAAGAACACTTTGAAGAATACCTTCCCAAGATACCATACAGCACTGGTTGGAAGTTGGCAGAAATCTGCCAAAGCATATATATTCTTTTTTAATGTAATGCACTGTAGAAATTGATAAATTTTAGAAATCAATGTACCAGTTTTTTAAACCCTCAGTTTTGCTATTTATCAAATTCAATCCCATCTTCCTTAGTAAGGTGCACCTTTCCCACACAAAGAACTTGGATGAATCACATCACACTTGCTTGACTTATGCTACAACCTCACAACCTTGGTACAAATATAAAATGTATGGTATTGATAGTCAGAGCAATACATGGCAGAGTAATAAAAAGATTAAATATTCCCAAATCCCACCTGTAAATGACCAAAATGATTTTCCTACATATTCTTGTGTTAGGACAAAAGACACGAGAGCCATTCCACCATTCACAATTCCAACAAAAAAACGTGAAACTGCAAATATGTCATAATTTGGAGCGAATGCCGTGACATACCCAAAAATGACATCAAGAAATAGACCTGTAGAGAGAGAATAAAATTAGTAATTAGTACTTATGTTGCACAGTTTGAGCTCAGAAGAAAGGCAGGGACCAGTCAGTTACTGACGGTAATGAGTGGTCTACAGTACTCTTCTCTCTCATCTCTCACATTTGGCTTTCTGAAATCACACCATATGAAAATTACAACCATTTTGAAGTCACACACTTGAGGTCTGCCATGCCAAAGATTATGTTCTCTTGAGACGATGTTACCATTAAACAAAAACACCCTTCCAGTTGCAAACACAGCTGGGAAACAGAACCCAGGACATGAGTAACACACTCTAAAGATGTTCAATATTCAGGTAATTAATTTCCCTCCGTCCCTCTAAAAAAAAGCTAATTATTTTTATTGAGAACAATATGGCTAGGCAGTGTGTGGAATAATGTGCTTCAAAAGTGACAGGCATAGCAAAACCACATTACTTTTCATCTCCCACTGATACTCCAGCGAGCGCTATGCTACTTAGCACAGTCATAGAAACCAATTTTAGTGCTGCTGTACTCCAAGAGAAAAGCTTAGACAGATCATTGACTTTATCACTGACAGAGCAGGCGACCCATGCATGGTCAGCCTCCAGACAGAGTGGCCCACAGGCAGCAAAGAAAGAGATGATGTTATCTATGTAGAATGCTTAAGAAAAGCCTTTCAACAATCTTACCTGAGATATACACTGGTTTCCTGCCCAGTTTATCTGACAACGGTCCAAATGTGACATTTCCAATAAGCAATCCAGCAAAAAATAGGGATGATGCAAGGCTTACTTTGTAGGCTTCTTGTTCGATTAGGTACCACTGTCAAAAAAAAGAATGTTCCTATTGTTAAAAGCATTAGCACCAAGTTGTTGACTTCCTCAAACAAACAAAAAAACCTACCAAAAACTATCAAAATTCTTCTCTTGCCATTTCCCCACTCGCTTTATCTTCAATTCAAATTTTGTTCAAAGTAAGCCAACAGTAGTCCTGGGTTTTTTTCCTAACAGACTCTCACATCTCTTTCTACTTTCTCTTTCCCAAGAAATTTCATCACAATATAAACTTTCAGCTTTGTAAGTGTAATTAGTTGTACCCCAATTCCCAAGCTTTGGCAAGGCAACCTATTTTGAGTTATTAAAACAATGGAAGCCTGAACTGGTAATAGCTTAGCCATTTCAACATTGAACAAGCTTAACTATTTCAATAAGCAGGTAATAAAAATTATTCATTAACAATAAAAACGCATGTTCGCTACTTCAGTACTTAGAGAGTTAATGCTGTGCAGCTCTGCTTCCTGAACCATGAGTAATCCCTGGTGCCCTTCCTCTTCATACACATGTTGAATTTTTGAAGAGAAGCAGGAAGGGATTACGGAAACATGTCCTTAGTTTATAGTTATCAACTACTCATTGGTACGTTAGTATCTTATTGTGCACATGCATTTGCAACCAAACAAAAGTTAGAAACAAATGATGGGTTTCTTTATAAAATGTACTTTTACCTCATCCAAACGCTAAACCTATGCAGCATAGTCAAAAACTGAGAGAAGAAAAGAAAATGAACTGACAATTGGAATGAAACTTACACTGTTTCCTGACGGGGCAAGGCACACAGGCAGCTTGTGCAGCCCCTCTGCTACAAACAAGGAGAATCTACATTCAGAATGCACTACAAGCATGCCTGACATCATTAACTTGGGAAAGAATGGAAGCAGAAAATCCTAAGTGATTTTCCAGGAAAAGAATTTAACTATTTAATGCAAAATCTCATCCAAACCAATAGTTAATCATTAGGTATTCCAAATAACTCCTAGTGTATTTACTGGAAATTTTACTTATAGCAACCTCACAAAACATATGCTTTTACTCAGTCGGAACTCACATAGTGGCAAAGTACAGAGAAGACATGGCTCCATCCACTCAGTAACCCACCAGCTACCTATGCTCCACCCATCCAGCACCCTGCAAGACATAGGTTGCCGGAGCAGATTTAACGTGTTTACAGGACGCCTTCTTTAGTCTGATGTACCCAGTGTTCCAGCACTTCAGAGTTCTGGGGAACTTCTGGATACTCTGGAATGGTAAAACTCCTGTGCAGCAGCATTTGCAGCTGGTTTCTACTATACCCCACTGGGTAGCAGATTCTACTCTATCTCACTGGATAAAGATGTAGCCCCAAAACTTACAGTTTCTTAACTTTCTGAGGAGACTTTAGTAATTAAATATTTCTGGACACAAATCCTCAGGAAACTTCAAATATAAAAATACCACAGCATGTGCTCTCCAAGACACAGCGCACTGTTGGCCAAGTCCTTCTCTGTGCCAGCACTCCATAGCACGCAAACTTTGAACTCCTAGTTCTTGTCTGCAGAGTGCTTCAGGCTGATACAAAGAAACAAAACAACTTCACGCTCCTGGATATGGTTGTAAAAAATCAACTTCTCATAAGTAAAGGACCATTTCTACAGAAATATAAAACATTCCTGGACTCACCTTCCTAAGCACCATCACTTGTCAGAGGGCTGAGTTGATGCCAGATCAAGAATTCTAACAACTTATTTTCCATAAACCAAGCCCAAGCTGTTACTTACGAAGTCTTAGTTATGCCAAAATTAATTACAACAATTAGTTCTTGAAGCAGAACTGAAGACCTGCTCTGGAGCATTGCAGAGCTCCAGAGCAGAACAGTGCCCCTGCCAAACCAGAACAGAAAATATTTACAGATTAAGCTCCATCACCAAAATAAGGGAAATAAACTTTGCAAAAGCAGCTTCCTCTCTCAAGACAAGAACAAGAGAAAAGATTGCTTTTGCAAACCACCACTTGTGCTGCTTAGCACGTTGCTGGAAAATGCTCAGATTTTAGCAAGCCTGGTATAATAATCTGTGAAGAACATAACTTTTAAAAGCATGTGTCTATCTACTTTATTTGCACAAAAGCAACTTGTTAAGTATTTGTCAAAATTAACTGTAGCCTGCCAACAAACAAGTTGTCAATTCTGCTATCACCAAAACAGACATCCTCTCAGCACTTTAAATCCACATGGAGTTTGATTTAGTTACTAGGCCACTAGCACACAGCAAAACATTGGCCAGCATCTAAAGACTCCGTGAAAAGACTATTAGCAATATATTTTTAAAAACTTATGATAAGTTATAGAAATTAAGGGCAACATAAATTGGTTTTGACAACTCTTGAGAATTCCTGCATTTTGGAAACGGGGACACTGACTTTAAAAACACAGTATTAGTTAAAATTTGATGATTTCTGATCATAAATTAAGCACTACCCCATATCATTCATCCCGCTGAGAGTATGAAACTGAGGGGTGATCTTGGAAAACAGGCTGTTTCTGGCAGAGGATATGATCCAATATTGCATCATTCCTTCTTATGTCAGGTCACTACATTTTTCCAAGATAAACATTATACACTCACATCTGGGATAATGGGAAGGAAGCAAGAACCTGGCACCAGCTACAGTAAGTGCTAACCTGTCTTATCCAACTTTACTGACAACCACTCCAAGAATTCAACCAGCAGGGCTCTGACAGTTCATGCTACAAGCCAAGCCACCCACAGTCTTTTTCCTGGCACTGGCAGCGATGCTTAGGTCACTCCTGCTCGCCTGAGTGATTATAGCCCAGGGACGAGCAAAACACAAATGCAGCCTCCTGCGTGGAATTCATAAGGCGTGAGGACAAAGGGTCAAGCTTCTGTCCCACTGAGCAAACTCCAGTCTGTTCCATCTCCCGCTCCCACCACACATCAAAATACCCAGACATGTGGCACATGAGTTTCACTTTCATACAAGTTTTAATCATTAAGATGTATCTCCTGTGGGAAACTAACAAAACATGGCAAAGTTACATCCACAGCAGATTGTGGAAACATGCCAAATTGAACCTTTGCCTGGTAGAAAACAGACACTGGGAGGAGCTCAGCCTAAATTCCAGCGTTGTAAACTGTAGTTAAATAATCATTCTTCTTTACTAATGATTTTACTGACTAGTAATGAAAGAAAACTGAAAACAAAATAAATAATACACAAAAAGTTTAACATAAATTATTAAGTATTAGATTTAGGCTAGGAAAGCTGAACTAACACTTTACTTTTAAATCTAAAAGTATATTACTAAAGATGAAATAAAAGAGCCAGAAGGGTGGTTTCCAATAATTCTTAACAGCATAAACAAAACATTACACTAAGCCCTCCTCAGCTTTTACAAGCAGCACATCCTGCACCCATGACATAAATCCCAAGAAGAAATGGTTAGATGCATGGAATTACTTGCCTCAGTTACTATAGAGGTGAAGTTGTCTGCAAAATGGATATGCTTGGCAAGTGCAGCTCTGTTTGCTGGAATTCCTTCTTGGTCTATGTGATACTCAGGCACAGCTCCCACAAGCACAATAAGCATCGACTGACAAGCCACATATACCTTAAAATAAGACACAATCAGTTACCCCAAAACAATCCCAAAAGACCTGATGGAATTCTGTATGTTTTTCATTAAACTAAAAATTAACAATCTCCCTTTACCCAGCACAACAAACAAAATGCAGTCGGTCTACTGTGTTTAAATTCCCAGATGTGGTCATTGAGGCTGCTGCGAGCAGCGGGTATCACTCCAGAGATACTGGCACACTGGAGTGAAGGCTCCATCTTGATGCCCTCCTTCCTGTGGCAAAGTTGTTCCATTTGTTCTTGCAGTTTTGTAGGCAGGCACAGGAAAGGAAGGTATTAAGAACTTCATCATAGTTTCGTAGCTGAGATCTAACAGTTAGACCAAGATTATTATTAAAAAAAAAAAAACACTATAAAAGAAATCTAAGATTATATTTCTAAAAGCCTCCGCTTTTTCTTTCCATTGCGAGACTGAAACCTTAACCTGGTCATTATAAAAACTAGAATATGCAGGAACAAAAAACATTTTTGTGAAGAAACCCTTACAAGAATATTTATTCATTAACATAGGTATCAAGGTGGTCTGAATGTCTTTCAGGCTTTACATCTAATTTTATTTTTTCTAACTTAAAATAACACTAACCTTACGCATATCCACGTATTGGCGACTTTCAGCATATTACCATTGATGGAAATGTTTTGAATCTTGAATGGCTCCCTACATTGGGCCACAAGTCTTTGGGTGATGATTTGGTTGGACATTGGTTTAAGGTGCCATTTTACCCTGTGCTTACTTTGGACACTCTTCCAGAAACAAGTTATAACAAAAACCTGCAACCAGCACAGTCGCCCTCCCTCACAACAGCAGTCTGATTCAAATGCAGCAGGAAGCTGTTCGGAAGAAACCAAGCAAGCGAAAGTGTTTGCACGTGGGGTGTGGACACGATTTAAAGGCAGACCCTGAATACCACATGTCACAAGAGACGGGAAGAACACAGTTGCTGCTGTTAGACTCCATTTCCTTGCACTTCACAGACGCTTAAAAGGCACTTTTAAAGCGAAGACGTGAAAATAATGGGCATAGAAACAAGGAAAGCATAATAAACTTTGCCAAGTTGAGATGTAAGACAGCACTCGGGCGAGAAAGGGGTTTGAAAAGCAACTCGCAAAAGGAACAAACCCCACCAAATCCTTTCTGAAACGCCCACGAGCCTCAGGGGGGTCCGCGAGGCTGTCTGCCGCAGAGATGCCAGCGGAGGGTCACTTCGCCACTCTCCTGCCCAAGAATTACTGTCACCCAGCGCGCCAGCAGAGGAGCACATGGCCGCGCACGTACGATCCGGTGTCCCGCAGCACCCCGCGCCCTGGCACAGACACCGGCCCCGGCTCTTCCTTCGCCCTCCGCCCGTCCCTCCCGGGATGCTGCTGCTCAGGGCACGAGAAAGAAACCAAACCGACCCCGAACAAACTTAACAAAACTCAGAAAACACGGAG